TGAGCCACCGCGCCCGGCCTGTGGTTTCTTTTTTTATTTTGCGTATCCCTATTTCCTTATTATGTAGAATTCAAGAAGTAAATTGCTGTCTTTTAAAGGATCTTTAATTTTTGTTAACGATATGGTATCAGTAAAAATAATTTCTTGAGCATACTGAGTTTCTTACTTTTTTATTATTTAGTGAGTATGTGGTATGCTTTTGTGATTCATCTGTCCAGTATACAATTAATGAGTGAGTATTTTGTACCAAGTGCAGTGAACATTCCGACAGTAATGATTGCTGTCACTTGCTGAGATTCTATTATGTCTCAGCTAAGTGCCATATATTCAGTACTTTATTTAACCTTACAGCAATCCTGTGAATTTGGATGATAGCCTTGTTATTTCTATTTTCTACATAAAGAAAACTGAGATATGCAAAAGTTAAGTGACTTGCCCACGGTCATATAATTTGTACATGCTGGAATTTCAATATAGGAACTGCTGCATTAAGAAAAACTATAAGGCCGGGCATGGTGGCTCATTCCTGTAATCCCAGCACTTTGGGAGGCCAAAGCAGGAGGCTGGCTTGAGCCCAGGGGTTTAAACAGCCTGGGCAACATAGTGGGACCACATCTCTACAAAAATAAAAATAAAAAATTAGCTAGGTGTGGTGGCAACATGTCTGTTGTGGTCCCAGCTCCTTCGGTGACTGAAGTGGGAGGATCGCTTGACCCAGGAGGTCAATGCTGCAGTGAGCCATGATTGCACCACTGCACTGCAGCCAGGGTGACAGAGTGAGATATTTTCGCAAAAAAAGAAAAAGGAAACCCAAAAAAACTAAGATATAATGTCTGCCTTAGAAGAATGGATAGTTGGGTAGAAGAGACAGAAGTATAACTAATTATAATGCAATGAGATATGGGTAAGCTTTAGATGTAATTCAGAAAAGGAAATGCCTGTATTTTGTTAAATTTATAGTTTACCAAAATCGTAAATTTAACATAGTTGCCAGTATTTTTATACTGATTGCAATAGATCATTCAAATACCACTCTAATTAATTAGGTGAATATTCTACTCTTCATTTCAGAAGCAGATTTTAGCAGTGTTAAAAAAAGATTATATAAAGGTGTAGATTTTAATAATGGTGTACATTTAATAATTTACACAATCGAATGATCTGTGTTTTAAAATTAGAAGCTTTCTGAATGAATATATAAACTCTGAAATTTTTACCTGAAACTTATCATTGGATTTGATACTTTTAATATTAGTATGTTTACTTGATAGGTTCAAGTTGTTCCAGTAGCAGACAGAATTTGACATTATCTTTAAGTTCTACCAAAGACAAAGGATCTCAATCTTGTAACTATGCTAATGGAGGACTTTTCAGTAAATACTCAGGTTCTGCACAGAGTTTGGCCTCCGTAAGTACAGAAAAAATACTACTTTTTAAAATTGTTGTTTACATATCTTTTGTGATCTGTTAGTTTAAGTGTCATATACTTATAGTTCTTAGTATGGAAAGAGTCTTAAGAAATCATCTGATTGAATCTGCTTTCATCAGGCAAGTAAAGTATCTACTGACTATTAAGTCAATTTGGTTCTAGATTTCTTTGAATAAGTGATCTGGTCACATGGGGACCTGTGAAAATAGTGTTGATGTGGAAGAATTACTTCAAAATTAGATGTTCTTGTCTTCACTTATTTGTGGGAGCTAAAAATTAAAACAATTGAACTCATGGAGCTAGGAAGTACAAGAATAGTTACCAGAGGCTGGGAAAGGCAAGTGGCGGTGGAGGGGAAGTGGAATGGTTAATGGGTACAAAAATATATGCAGATAGAATAAATAAGATCTAGTATTTGATAGCACAATAGGGTGACTACATTTGACATAATTTATTATAGATTAAAAAATAATTTAAAAAGTGTAACTGGATTGTTTATAACACAAAGAAGGGACACACGCTTAAAGATAAAGGTGATGGATACCCCATTTATCCTGATGTGGTCTTTATACATTGTATATATCAAAATGTTTTATATAACCCATATATACACCTATTACATATCCACAGAAATCAAAAATTGAAATTAAAAAGTTATTAATTAAAAAAAAATTAGCTGTTCTGCAAGAAGCTGGATGATATAGCCAGACTTTGTGCTGGGTCACCATAATCACTTGATGACCCTACTTAGGTGAAAGTATTTGGCTTGGTGAAGACAAGTGTGAGGTTCTTTACCTCCTTTGGATCATTAATACAGTATTGACTGACAAGCAGGAGACTGCCCTTCTTTTTTTTGAGCATTAATTATTATTATTTTTTTTAAAGACGGGTTTCACCATGTTGGTCAGGCTGGTCTCGAACTCCTGTCCTCAGGTGATCCACCCACCTCGGCCTCCCAGAGTGCTTGGATTACAGGCGTGAGCCACCATGCCTGGCTTTTTTGAGCATTAAAATTAATGCTGATTGACAAGTGAGGAATGAAGTTACTATTTGTTTAAATCTAATGTGATTTAAACATTAATTTAAAAAATAGGTAGAATATCTACCTGTTATTGAATGCAGAACAGGCAAAAGAATATACAATGAGAGCTGGGTGCTATAGTGTTGCCTATAGTCTCAGCTATTCAGAAGACTGAGGCAAGATCGCTTCAGTCCAGGAGTTTGAAGACAGCCTGGGCAACACAGTGAAACCTTGTCTCGTAAAATAAAATAAAATAAAATAAAATAAAATAAAAATAAATGTGTTCCTGATCCACTCAATTCCCCTCCCTGGAGACTAAACAACATTAACAATTTCTTTTTTTTTTTTTTGAGAGGGAGTCTTTTTCTCTTGCCCAGACTGGAGCTCAGTGGCACAATCTCTGCTCACTGCAACCACCACCTCCCAGGTTCAAGCGATTCTCCTGCCTCAGGTTCCCAAGTAGCTGGAATTACAGACATGTGCCACCGCACCTGGCTAATTGTTATATTTTTAGTAGAGAGGTTTCACCACGTTGGCCAGGCTGGTCTCGAACTCCTGACCTCATGATCCACCCACCTTGGCTTCCCAAAGTGCTGGTATTAACAGACGTGAGCCACCGCACCTGGGCTGTTTTCATTTTTTTCTTCATGGTTTATAGAACACCATATTCTGTTCTGTACCTTGCTTCTATATTTCATTGTAATATATAGCTGCCCTATTCTGTAATGCCTAAAAATGTAATACATTTTTAAAGACTCTTCTAGGATAGAAACAGCTAGATCAAAGGCCTGCAGACTTTCAATTCCTCTGTGAAACTGAGCAGCATAATGAAGAATATGCTTATTTTTTTTTTTTTTTTTTTTTGTCTTTTTGGCAGTGTATTGCTGGAATATACCTATTCTTTTTTCTTTCTTTTCTTTTCTCTTTTTTTTTTCTTTTTTGAGATTGAGTCTCACTCTGTTGCCCAGGCTGGACTGCAGTGGTGTGATCTTGGCCCACTGCAACCTCCACCTCCTTGGTTCAAGTGATTCTCCTGCCTCAGCCTCCCAAGTAGCTGAGATTACAGGCATGTGCCACCACACCTGGCTAATTTTTGTATTGTTAGTAGAGACAATATTTCACCATGTTGGCCAAGCTGGTCTCAAACTCCTGACCTCAAGTGATCTGCCGCTTCGGCCTTCCAAAGTGATGGGATTACAGGCGTGAGCCACTGTGCCTGGCCAGAATGTGGCTTTTCTGTTATGTGGACTTCCTCAATGTCTGAGAAGTGCCTACTGTGAATTTCCTCAATTGAAAGTTGAAGCCCTTGTTGACTAGAACTAGATAAGTTAAATTTCATGATAATGGTGTAACAAGTCTTTAGAATCACTGTACTGTACTTGCCTAACTGAACTAGCCATTCCTCTGCCAGGGCTGTTAACTGCTTTGATTTTCTGTCTCTTAGGCAGTAGATAATAAGTGTTGAAATTGGGATCATGATGTCAGAAGTGGAAAGGAGGGGACAGAGTCCACAAAATTTGGTGACTGAATATGAGAAGTGTGGGAAGAGACTTTGAAGATGACATCCTGTTTTATAGTTTGAGAAATTATGGGAATGGAAACACTGTTAGTGAGCTTGGGAGGAAGAAGAGGTTTTGTTGCGAGAGATGCTAAGCCCCTTTTTTGACATACAATCATGAGTTGCTTAATGATGGTGCTGCATTTGCTACATTCTGAGAAATGTGTCATTAGATGATTTCATCGTATGAATACCATACTGTGTACAGAAAAGAAAGTGCCTGTATTTTATTAAATTTACAATTTAACAAAAATATAAATTTAGCGTAGTTGCCAGTATTGTCATACTGATTACAATAGACTATTCAAATATGACCCTAATTAGTTAGGTGAATAATTTACTCTTTATTTCAGAAGCATCATAATCTGTATGCTATATGTTGTAACCTGTTGTTCCTAGGCTACAAACCTGTACCACATGCGACTGTACTGAATACTGTAGGCAATTGGAACATGATGGTATTTGTGTATTTAAACATATCTGAACATGGAAAAAGTACAGTAAAAATACAATTTTGTAATCTTATGGTAGGATCCACTGTTGTATATGCGGTCTGTTGTTGACCCAGATGTTGTTATGTTGAAAGTGTCTATAGTTAGTTTGCGATGCCAGCCAAAGAGCCAAATGGAGTTGCCGAAAAGGCAAATGAAAATGTTGGTTTAGATTTCTCAAAAGTGAACTGGAATTAGGATAGAATTGGAGTTAGGAGTTTGAGTGTCATCTGCATAGACATGATTGAAATGATTTGTTCAGTGGACCTTGCTAGGAAAGGGCATTTACAAAGATGATGGTGGCTTTTTTTTTGAGATGGAGTTTCGCTCTTACTGTCCAGGCTGGAGTGCAATGGCCCGATCTTGGCTCCCTGCAACCTCCACCTCCCAAGTTCAAGTGATTCTCCTGCCTCAGCCTTTCAAGTAGCTGGGATTACAGGCATATGCCAGCATGCCCAGCTAATTTTGTATTTTTAGTAGAGACAGGATTTCTCCATGTTGGTCAGGCTGGTCTCAAACTCCCGACCTGAGGTGATTCAACCACCTCAGCCTCCCAGAGTGCTGGGATTATAGGCATGAGCCACCAAGCCTGGCGATAGTGGCTTTTTTATTTTAGGTATCATTTAGCAGAGAGTCAGCATTGTAAAACATTCTAAAAGAAAAATAAGCTAGCTACCTGAAATCAAAGTAGGTATAGATAAAATTTATAAGTAAATGCTTAAAACAATAAATGATATAAACATAACTGCCTGATTTCTGATGGAAATAAGTGATTTACATTCAAAATATTCTACTTGTATATTTTTGAGCAAAGAGGCTTAGAATAGAGTCATATGACTTCTAAATTTGATTGAATATCATCAGCAGTATTTCTTCATGTGGAAATTACATGGATTGTCTTAACTAATATGATTTATATAAATAATCTGTAAATATAAAAGATCATAGCATACTATAATGAGAGAGATTTGAAGTAACTTCTGTCCATCTTAATTTTAGGTCCAGAGTGTCAATTCTTGTCATAGCTGCGCTTGTGGCAATTCTAATTCCTGGGACAAAGCAGATGAAGATGATATTAAACTTGTTAATATCCCTGTGACTACTCCAGAGAACTTATACTTAATGGGTAGGAATAAGATGATAATATTTTAAGATATTGTGCTCACATTTAATTTGTTTTGTTTTTGTTTTTTATTTATTGAGACAGACAGGGTCTTGCTCTGTCGCCCAGGCTGGAGTATCACTGCGATCGCTGCTCATTGCACCCTCAACCTCCTGGGCCCAAGTGATCCTCCCACCTTAGCCTCCTGAATGGCTGGGACCACAGGTGCAAGCCACCATGCCCAGCTAATTTTTTTTTTTCTTTATCTTTTTTCAAGATGGGGTTTCACCATGTTGGTCAGGCTGGTCTTGAATTCCTGACCTCAGGTGATCCACCCGCCTTGGCCTCCAAAGTGCTTGGATTACAGGCATAAGCCACCATGCCCGGCCAATTAAAAAAAAAATTTTTGTAGAAGTGGGGTTTTGTCGTGTTGCCAGTTTGGTCTTGAACTCCTGAGCTCAAGCAGTCTGCCCACCTCTGCCTCCTAAAGTATTGGGATTAAGGCCTTAGCCACCATGGGCAGTGGTAAGTTGAAATTTAAAAACAGTGAATTGTTCTAAGAGAAGGAACTATATAATTTTAAATATTCTTCCATCCGTTGAATTTAATCTTCATAACATCATACACTGTATTAGTTTAAACTAATACAACAAAATTAAAACAACAGAAATTTATTCACTCAGAGTTTTGGAGACCAGAAGTTCATTATCACCGGATTGAAATGAAGATGTCAGTAGAGCCATGTTCTCTCTCAGGCTTAGGGGAGAATCTGTTCCTGACCTCTTGAAGCTTTTGGTGGGCTTCCAGCATTGTTTGGCTTGTGTCCACATCATTCCAGTCTCTACCTTTGTCTTCATGTCACATTCTCCTCTGTGTGTATCAAATCTCTCCCTATATCCCCACCCCGCCTCTTTTTTTGAGACAGAGTCTTACTCTGTCACCCAGGCTGGAATGCAGTGGTGCAACATCGGCTCACTGCAGCCTCCACCTCTGAGTTCAAGCAATTCTCAAGCCTCAGCCTCCCAAGTGGTTGGGCTTACAGGTGTGTACCACCACGCCCAGCTAATTTTTTGTATTTTTAATAGAGACATGGTTTCACCTTGGTAGCCAGTCTGGTTTTAACCTCCTAAGCTCAGGTGATTTGCCCACCTCAGCCTCATAAAGTGCTTGGATTATGGGTGTAAGCCACTGCGCCCAGCCACCTCTGTCTTACAAGGACACTTTTGGTTAGATTTAGGGCCCAGCAGATAAATTAGGATAATGTCCCTGTATTGGGATTCTTAATTACATCTACAAAGATGTAAGATGTTACCTTTATTTATAAGTTTACAGCTTCTAGGAATTAGGATCTAATGTCTTTGGGTGACCATTATTCAGCCTGCTACACTATCTTAAACTAATCTGTTGACTCTTATGTAACAAATCTATCAGAATTCACTTAACTAAATCTGTTTTATCTAGCTATCATGTGTATTGTTATGTCTAGAAAAAAAAATTTAAATAGAAGGAAGGTGTTCTGTGTTTCACCTCTCAGTATTTCTCTTGACTTGACCATGAACATGTCTACAGAGCCACACTGAAGCCCTGGAGAAGAACCAAACGCACCTGTTGTTGAATCAGAGGATTCAAATGGTTTCCCCTGTTCTCTATTCTGTTTCAGGCTGTCTTCCTTTTCATGGAAATGCATACTAAATAAAAAACAAAACCAGTAAACCTGATGTAGCCCTGGGCAGTGAGCAGTAAAGGGACTGATGACTTAGTAAAGAAGGACTGAGTGTCTCGGAATGCATTCCCACTCTCTAGATAGTTAGACTATATCATCTCCGGTACCATCACAGCGGGTACTCCTATGAGGAAAGAAGCAAGAGTAGTTCCTTTGCCACCTATTCCAAAGGTCTCCAGAAAGTCAAATTCACTATGTTTCTAGATTATGTCTAGTAAACTTATACTCACAGCTTCTGTTAATATTGCAAGTTCATGGCTGGGTATGGTGGCATGTACCTGTAGTCTTAGCTACTTGGGAGGCTAAGGCAGGAGGATCACTTGAGCCTAGGAGTTATAGTGAGCTAATTGTGCTACTGCACTCCAGCCTGGGTGACAGAGCAAGCTTTTTCTTTTCTTTTCTTTTTTTTTTGTTATTTAGTTTTTCTTTCATAATCATAAACTTAACTCTGCAATCTAGCTAGGCATGGAAGGGAACAAGGAAAACGGAACGCAAAGGGAACTGCATCGATAGCACAAAGATTCTATGATACTATGAGTAAATGGGGTGGAGGGATGCTCTCCTGAGCTACAGAAGGAATGGTCTGGTGGTTAAGATAAAACACAAGTTAAACTTATTAATGAGATGCCCACAGTCTGCAATGGTGATCTTCTTACTGGTCTTGCTATTCCTGGACCCAACACACTCCATGGCCTCCTCAATATTCATGCCTTCTTTCACCTTGCCAAAGACCACAAGCTTGCCATCCAGCCACTCAGTCTTGGCAGTGCAGATGAAAAACTGGAACCATTTGTGTTGGGTCCAGCATTTGCCATGGACAAGATGCCAGGACCTGTATGCTTTAGAATGAGTTCTCGTCATCAAATTTCTTCCCGTAGGTGGACTTGCCACCAGTGCCATTATGGCATGTGAAGTCACCCCCCTGACACATAAACCCTGGAATAATTCTGTGAAAGCAGGAACCCTTAACACCAAATCCTTTCTCTCCAGTGCTCAGAGCAAGAAAGTTTTCTGCTGTCTTTGGAACTTTGTCTGCAAACACCTTGAAGGAGATGCAGCCCAAGGGCACACCATCGATGGCAATGTCGAGGAACACGATGGGGTTGAGCATGGCTGATAGTACAGGGTCCCAGCAGCAGCGGCATCTGCAAAGCGGCCCTTTTTCTTAAAAAAACAAAAAACAAAAAACAAAAAAACAAAGCAAAACAAAAAACAAACAAAAACCTAGAATATTAAAAATTCAAATTCAAGTGAAATAGAGCAAAACTAGAGACACCACAGGGGATCTTTGTGTTATAGGATTAAGATTGGTAGGAGCCCTGTGGATCACCTGGTATCATCACCCATCTGTTTCAATTCTCTTTATAAAATTGATGACATTAAAAAAAAGATTGGTGACAGGCCGGGCGTGGTGGCTCACGCCTATAATCCCAGCACTTTGGGAGGCCGAGGCGGGTGGATCACAAGGTCAAGAGATCGAGACCATCCTGGTCAACATGGTGAAACCCCGTCTCTACTAAAACTACAAAAAATTAGCTGGGCATGGTGGCGCATGCCTGTAATCTCAGCCACTCAGGAGGCTGAGACAGGAGAATTGCCTGAACCCAGGAGGCAGAGGTTGCGGTGAGCGGAGATCGCGCCATTGCACTCCAGCCTGGGTAACAAGAGCGAAACTCCGTCTCAAAAAAAAAAAAAAAAGATTGGTGACGTATGTTTGACTTGCTGTTACAAAACTGATGATATTTGGTAGCCTGGGCTGTATTCTATAGTGAGGTGGGACATAGTACTTCTTGAGGAGACAGCTTTTATCTTTGTATTATACAACTGTGCTGTAAAATAGTTCTTCCTGAAGCCAAGTGTGGAGGCACATGCTTGTAGTTCCAGCTACTTGAGAGGCTAAAGTGGGAGAATCACTTGAGCCCAGGAGTACAAGACCAACCTGGGCAACGTTATAATACCCCTATCTCTAAAGAAAGAAACCAAAAAAACTAAAAAAAAAAAAAAAAAAAAATTCTTCCTGTGTTCATATGTTCAGCCAAAATAATAAATGTTTAGAAGGGATAGTGTAAGAAAAGGATGAAGGAATTAGAGTTGTGTAACTTGGAGAAAGGAGAGTAGATAGTGATATGATTGGTTTTTGTGTTCATAAATGTTTTAGGAGAAGATTCAAAAACTATTCTTTGCTACAGAAAATCGAACAAGAAGGAAAGGCCTACATATCATTTTCAGAAATTTTAGGCCAGATATGGTGGCTCACCTGTAATCCCAGAACTTAGGGAGGCGCTGGTGGGAGGATTGCTTGAGCCCAGGAATTTGAGACTAGCCTGGGTAACATAGTGAAACCTCATCTCTACAAATACAGAAATATATTTAAAAAAAAAAAATAAAAGAGGCTGGGCCTGGTGGCTCATGCCTGTAATCCCAGCACTTTGGGAGGCAAAGGTGAGTGGATCACCTGAGGTCAGGAGTTCGAGACCAGCGTGGCCAAACATGGTGAAAACCTGTCTCTACTAAAAATACAAAAATTAGGTGGGCATGGTGGTACATGCCTGTAGTCACAGCTACTCAGGAGGCTGAGGCAGGAGGTTGCAGTGAGCTGAGATGGTGCCACTGTACTCCAGCCTGGGCAACAGAGTGAGATTCTCTCTCAAAATAATAAGAAATAAGAAAAATTTTATTCTTTTAGGATTGTAGGTTCTACAGTGTGGTAACTGAAGAAATGACTTGAGAGGTATTTTTTAGCTACCATATTTTTAAAACATCATGAGAATGACTTATCCAGATTCTTAAGCAGCTTTTACATATCATTTTCTTTAATATTTAACATTTTAAAAATACTTTAAAAGTGAAGTTTTAAACTATTTTTGTTTTGTTTGAAGTGCCTAATTATTTTTCTAAGCATTTTTTAAAAAAATTTTTATTTGTAGAAAAAGAAGCACATGTTCATTTGTTTTCCCACAAAGCTTTCTCTCAGCAAGGACATGAAATTCCTACTTGGACTATAACTAACTTTTGATAGGTTCATTCAGTATCTTGCAGATTTTTAACTCTGGCCCATCAATTTATCCAAATCAGTCTGTTGGGATCATAGTGGTTCAGGACACCCTTTAGGGAACAAAAGGTGAAAAAGACTTTATTTTAGACTTCTATATTATTATCTTTTCTTCAGCTTTACTTTTTTTTTTTTTTGAGACAGTGTCTTGCTCTGTTGCCCAGGTTGGAGTGCAGTGGCATGGTCTTGGCTTATTGCAACCTCTGCCTCCTGGGATCAAGTCAGTTCTCCTGACTTAGCCTCCCGAGTAGCCATGATTACAGGCGCATATCACCACACCTGGCTGATTTTTAAATTTTTAGTAGAGATGGGGTTTCACCATGTTGGCCAGACTGGTCTCGATCTCCTGACCTCAGGTAATCTACCTATCTCGGCCTCCCAAAGTGCTGGTACTATAGGTGTGAGCCACCTCACCTGGCCATCTTCAGCTTTACTTTCTTCTTCTGAGAATTTATAAAACAGTAGTTTTTTGTAAACTGGTTTCTTCTACCTGTTAGTTTTCCTTTTAACTTACAGAGATATTTTGAAACATAGTTGTGCGACTATAAAAAATAACTGTTACTCAAACTTTTGATGAATTCATGATATTATTTTAGAAAAATTCTGAGCCACATATACATTTGTGTTGTATTTTTAAAGAAATGAAAACATATTGGCCATTTTGTCCCTGATTTTTGGTTAACTGGAACCATAGGTTGAGAATATATTCGGAAATTAAGATTCTACCATGAAATGATGTGCGATTCTTTAGTGTCAAAAATTAGACTGTGCTATTGGTGATAATGTATGAAAGTATTTCAAACCCTATATAATTTTATATTGGCATTGGTATCGCTCGCTTAAAATTGTTCTGTTCTTAATTTTTAGGTATGGAATTGTTTGAAGAGGCATTGCGTCGATGGGAACAAGCTCTAACCTTTCGCAATAGACAGGCTGAAGATGATGCCTGTGGTTCCATTAAGATGGGTGCAGGAGATGCCATTGCTGAAGAAAATGTAGATGTAAGGGTGATTTATTTGAGTGGTCTTCATAATATTAGAAGAATTTAACTTTTTTTTTTTTTTTTATAGAGATGGAGTCTTACTATGTTGCCCAAGCTGAGTCTTGAACTCTTGGGCTCAAGCGATCCTCCTACCTTATCCTCTTGAGTAGTTAGGACTATGGGTATGCACCACCATGCCTGGCTAATTTTTAAATTTTTTGTAAAGATGGCATCTCACTGTATTGCCCAGGCTGGTCTTGAACTCCAGGCCTCAGGTGATCCTTCCACTTTGACCTCCCAGAGTGCTGGGATTATAGGCATGAGCCAGGGTGTACCTGGCCCAGGGTATTTTTTAATGTTGATTCAGTGTATTTGCTTTGTATGGCATTTGATAGAACTATTTTTGTCTTCTTCCTTGGGACTGTATGGGGTATTTCTTATTGGTCTTTTTCTATTCAGTTAGTTGGTAAATGCCAGATTTACCATTCATCAAGTTTATTAATTTTTCCAGGATATGCAAAATAAGCAGATTGGCTTCTAAAGGATTTTTTTTAAAGAAATGGGGTCTTGCTATGTTGCCGAGACTGTAGTACAGTGGTTCATAGGAACAAATCATAGTGCACTGTACCCCAGAACTCCTGCCTCAGCTCAAGCAATTCTTCTGCCCCAATCTCCCAAGCAGTTGGGACTGCAGGCACATTCTACCTTGTCTGGCTTGGAGTTTTTTAAAGTTTGATTTGTGCTTTGGGATTAATTGTTATTATGTTCATAAAAATCACAGAGGTATTGAGCTGGACCCTTATTGATCATTTAGTTAAGCTAGTGATTCTCAAACTTAAGAATGCATAAGAATGACCTAGAGGACTTGTTAAAACACGGATTTGGAAGCCCCACCCCACGGATTTTTCATTGACTAGGACTGGGGTGGATCCTAAGAATTTGCATTTCTACCAATTTCTTGGGTGATAATGAAGCTGCTAGTTCAGGGACCTTATTTGAGAACTGCCGATCTAGTCTAACTCCTTAATTTTATAGGTAAAGAAACGGAATCACTAAGAACTAAGGTAATTTTGCCAAAGACACAGCTAGAACTCAGGCCTCTTGACTGCTGCTGCTGTACTCTTTCCACCATCTATGAGTAGTTTTTCACATTATTCATTTTCTTTGCCTTTTATTTAAAAGTGGAAAAACATTTAGAATCTTAACATTAGAATTTAATTTGTTATATGTGCTTTTTCTCTCCTCGTAGGATATTATTAGTACTGAATTTATCCATAAACTTGAAGCTCTGCTGCAGAGGGCCTATCGTCTCCAAGAGGAGTTTGAAGCTACCCTTGGGGCATCTGATCCTAATTCCCTTGCTGATGATATTAGTAAGATGGATATTTTATATGTTTTTTATGAAATGTTTGCTTTCCTTTTATATTCTTGAAATTATTTGCGTGTCTGTCTTATGTATTAATAGGTTACTTAAAAAATAGCCAAGAGAAAAAAATTCTATCATATTTCTTTTTTTATTTCAGTTTTAATTTTTAAATGAACTAATGCCCTTAGGATATAAATTCAAGTACTTATCATAGGTAGGACGGTGACATTTTAAAATATATTGTGGGTGAAAAAAAATCTAGAGTGTTGGAGGGAGAAAAGAATAAACAAAAATATACAAATGGGACAGAGACTCACCACTTCAGAAATGTGCATGTAATATTACTGAAAATATTTTAAAGAATTAAAGGTCTTGGGCCCCACTTTAATCACAGGCTATCTGTTGATGTAAGTAGTCAATACATACATCATTATGGGCCATTACCTTTGTTTCCTGCTTTAAAGAAAAAAGAGTTTTAAAAAGTTGTTTATTTTTTATTTTTTTGAGACAGGTTGTGTGTATCCCAGGTGGGAGTGCAGTGACACGATCGCAGTGCACTGCAGCCTTGGCCCCTTGAGCTCAAGTGATTGACCTACCTCTGCCTCCCAAGTAGCTGGGACTATAGACACGTGCCACCATGCCTGGCTAATTAAAATTTTTTTTGTGGAGACAGGGTGAGCTTCTTTTTTTTTTTTTCTTTTCAAGACAGAGTTTCACTCACTCTGTCACCCAGTCCTGGGTGCAGTGGTGTGATCTCGACTCACCGCAACCTCTGCCTCCTGAGTTCATGCAATTCTCCTGCCTCAGCCTCCCGAGTAGTTGGGATTACAGGCATGTGCCACCGTACCCAGCTAATTTTTGTATTTTTAGTAGAGGCAAGGTTTCACCATGTTGGCCAGGCTGGTCTCAACCTCCTGGCCTTAAGTGCTCCCAAAGTGCTGGAATTACAGGTGTGAGCCACTGTGCCTGGCCAAGGTAAAGTTCTTGAATGAAGTCTTGGAAGAAAGGAATGATTAAAGTTGCTTATTCAGCTTCTATAAATGCCCCCAAAGAAAGAAGAAGACCAAATTATATGTTTGGGTTTTTTTTTTTTTTTTTTTTTTTTTTTTNTTTTTTTTTTTTTTTTTTTTTTTTTTTTTTTGTCAAAAATAATTTAAGTCTTTCTAGTATGAAGAGAATCATTTTCCAATTTTAAAAAAAAGCTAAGGAGTTTTAACTTTTTCCACATTAGTACTGAATGCAGCTGCATTTTGAGATATTTATATCTCTATGCATTTTGAATTTAGGTAAAAGATTTTGTTTGTATTAGAATTATGAATTGCTGTGTATATGTCATAAGGTTATATGAACTCTCTGGTCTCTGCTTTGTCATCCTATTCTTGCCACCAAACATTATTAGATGAGTGTGTTTTAGTAGCTTCTCTGCTCTTAGCATAGGCATAATGTTTTGACATACCTAGGAGATTAGTCTAGAAAAAAAGTAGGCAGTATTCATATCAACAAATATAATTTGTCAAAGCCTTATATTAATTTTTTCTACAGTTTCTTGTGTAACTTTAGTTAGAATGTCATTTATGATAGTAAGTCGGAGAAAGAACACAGAAAAGGAACTTTTTTAAAACCTCAAATGTAGAATGAGAATGGAACAACCAGAAAAGTTAGAAAAGTGGTTAAGTGGCAAGGAACACCACAGAGAAAAGTAAGTAGGAAAAAATTATAAATATAAATCGGAAAGAAGAAGAGGATCCTGAGACTTTTAATGTCTTACTCTAGGAATGGAGGCTTTGTCTGTGCTGTCTAATCTTCAGCAGTTTCTTTTAGCCTCATGATAAGGATCTCGTGGATGCGTAGTTTTTGTTCTTTTAGTCTTGTAATATGTATCACAGATTTGGTTCTGTTTGGCATGCCTTGGCACATTTTTTCTATAGCCTTCTGTAGAGGTTGGCTGGGTCTGTCTCATTCCTTCAGGTTAAAAAGATTCCTTGGGTACAGTCTCAGAGGTCTGCTTTAGATTCTTGTTGCTTTTGGACAAGAAGACCTCTGGGCATGTGGCTTAGTTTCTGGAGTCTTCAAGCTGTTTCTGAGGCAACTATTGTTAATCTTGAACTCTAAATGGTTAGGGTGGGACCCATAAATCAGTCCATGCATTTAGTTAGCTTAGGTTGGGAATAAGTTCCTGACCCCACTCATGTTTTAACCTGTGCTGTCACTGCCTACCAGGCTGATGTGCTTTTCCCTGTAGCCTGCCAGTTCGTTGGCCCCCTGTTGCCCTGGAGATTCCAGTTGACATGAAGCTGTTATATTTTGTTTGTTGTAGGGAATTGTTTTGATATTGCAAGTTTGCATTTTTGAACTTCTGGATCGAAAGAGCTGAATGTATGGCCAAGATTCAGGGAGCGGCTCTGTTATAACTGTTACTTAACGTTGACAAAAATTGCCTAGAAGTCAGTTAACTCTCATTCTTTAAATCTAAAACAATTGTATTCATTTAACTTATATTATTGAAAGGCAACTTAAAGTTAACAGTCATAAATCAAGATAGTCTAACAGATGCCTTCAGAGGCCCAGGGGCGAATTTAAACCAAGTATTGATCTGATGTTAGTGAATTCTTCGTTGTTTTGAATCTGCTTTGTCTAATTTGATGACCTTCATTTTTTTTTTTTTTTTTTTTTTTTGGCAACAGTCATGCTGTGTCCCCCAGGCCAGAGTGCAGTAGTGTGACTCAGCTCACTGCAACCTCTGCTTCCTGGGCTCAAGCCATCCTCTCACGTCAGCCTCCCAAGTAGCTAGGACTATAGGTGGGTGCCACCACACCCTGCTAATTTTTTTTTTTTTTGAGACGGAGTTTCGCTCTTGTTACCAAGGCTGGAGTGCAATGGCGTGATCTCGGCTCACCGCAACCTCCGTCTCCCGGGTTCAGGCAATTCTCCTGCCCCAGCCTCCTGAGTCGTTGGGATTACAGGCACGTGCCACCATGCCCAGCTAATTTTTTGTATTTTTAGTAGAGACAGGGTTTCACCATGTTGACCAGGATGGTCTCGATCTCTTGACCTCGTGATCCACCCACCTCGGCCTCCCAAAGTGCTGGGATTACAGGCTTGAGCCACCGCGCCCGGCCCCACCCTGCTAATTTTTAAAAAAGTTTTCTGGCTGGGCATGGTGGCTCACGCCTGTAATCCCAGCACTTTAGGAGGCCGAGGTGGGTGGATCATAAGGTCAAGAGATCGAGACCATCCTGGCCAACATGGTGAAACCCCATCTCTACTAAAAAAAAAAAAATATATATATATATATATGTGTGTGTATATATATATATTTATATATATATATATATATATACACACACACACACACACACACACATACATACATACATACACAAAAATTATATATACAAAAATTAGCTGGGTGTGGTGGCATGCACCTGTAGTCCCAGCTACTCGGAAGGCTGAGGCAGGAGAATTGCCTGAACCCATGAGGTAGAGATTGCAGTGGGCCAAGATTGTGCCACTGCACTCCAGCCTGATGACAACACAAGACTTACTGTCAAAAAAATTTTTTCTCTAGAGATGAGGTCTCTCTATACAAGGCTTGTCTCGAGCTTTACAGGCTGGTCTTGAACTCTTGGGCTCAAGCAGTCCTCCCACATTGGTCTCCCAAAATGCTGGAATTGCAGTTGTTAGCCAGCATGCTGAGCCAGGAAAGACTTCTTAGCCATCACCTAATTTCATTTCTCCCCTGTCTGTAACAGCTAGGGGGAGCTAGTCAGTAGTAGCTACTAATAACTGGTAACTAGTATCTACTATTGTTTTTTACCATGTACCAGGCCCTTTGTTAAGCACTTAGCATCCTTGTGTCTTCTCTGGGTCAGATACTGTTACATTCTGAATGAAAATTATCTCTGCCAGGTGTGGCTCACACCTGTAATCCCAGCACTTTGGGAGGCTGAGGCGGGTGGATCACCTGAGGTCAGGAGTTTGAGAGCAGCCTGGCCAACATGGTAAAACCCTGTCTCTTCCAAAAATACAAAAATTATCTGGGCATGGTGGTGGGTGCCTATAATCTTAGCTACTCAGGAGGCTGAGGCAGGAAAATCTCTTGGACCCAGGAGGCAGAGGTTGCAGTGAGCCAAGACCATGCCATTGCACTCCAGCCTGGGCGACAAGAGTGAAACTCCATCTCAAAAAAACAAAAATCAACAACAAAAAAGAAAAGTACCTTAATCCCCACAACAACTTTTAGCGCATATGTATATATATAAAACTATCATCCCTATTTTTCAGATGGGGAAAGTGAGGTACAGAGGTGTTAATAACTTCCCCAGGGTTACACAGCTATTAAGTGGAGGAACCCGGATTTGGACCCAGTCAAGCTAGCTTTATAGTCCTTCCTTTCCCCTTTCCCCTTCTCCTTTCCCCTTTCTCCTTTCCCCTTTCCCCTTTCCTTTCCCCTCCCCTCTTCCTTTCCTTTCCCCTCTTCCTTCCTTCCTTTCTTTCCTTTTTATTGTTTTTGAGATGAAGTTTCACTATTGTCGCCCAGGCTGGAGTGCAGTGGTGCCATCTCAGCTCACTGCAGTCTCCGCCTCCCAGGTTCAAGTGATTCTCCTGCCGCAGCCTCCCAAGTAGCTGTGATTACGGGTGCCTATCACCACACCTGGCTAATTTTTGTATTTTTATTAGGGACAGAGTTTCACCACATTGGCCAGGCTGGTCTCCAACTCCTGACCTCAGGTGATCTGCCCGTCCCGGCCTCCCAAAGTGTAGGGATTACAGGCACAAATCACTGCGCCTGGCCCGTTTATTATTTTTTTTTCTGAGAGAGGGTCTGGCTGTGTTGCCTAGGCTGGGGTGCAGTAGTGCAATCTTGATTCACTGCAACCTCCACCTCCTGGGCTCAAGCTGTCCTCTCACCTAAGCTTCCTGAGTAGCTGGGACCACAGGCACGTGCCACCATGCCTGGCTAATTTTTATTTTGGGTAGAGATGAGATTTCGCCATGTTGCCCAGG